AAAAAATTAATTTTTTATAAGGAAAAAAATTTAAAAAAAAAAAAAAAATTAAAAAAAAAAAAAAAAAAAAAAAAAAAAAAAAACTACAATACTGCTTACACACTTCGCTTCTATTACGACACACAGTGTCACTGTACAGAAAAGCACTCGTGTCCATAGTCATACCATGTTTTTCATGAGATTAACATGTTCTTCCCAATAGCTAATTGCTGTTTCCATGGGAGACCGATGCATGGAGTCACACACAGAGAAAACGCATCTGCTCAAACACCTGCTTTGATACAAGTGCAATGAGACGCTCAGACATGGGTAATAAAGCAAGTCTGGGTAGGTGTGTATATTAGTCATGATGCAGAACATCAATCTGTTGGCACGGTAGAGTGGGACTGCAGAGACACGCCCTGCCTGAGCCCGTCATAAAATAAATCTCTTTAGATTATTTGGTATGCATGTTTATAGACGGAGGGTTACAGTGTTTGGGGTTAGATTTTGGTTAAGGTTTAGTATTTTCTAAGCAGTAGCTTCACCTTTAAGGTGTGTTTTTTTTCTGTACGTGTGAGAAAGACAAAGAGATTTAGATTGGAAGGGTGCCTGGTATGTTTGCAGAAAAACAACAACAGAGCTCCAGACTTACCAAGGTACCTGGAGGGACATTCATCTTCATTTGACCTGAATCACTTTATCCCCAGTGAATGTGCAGAGACTCTCAGCGACTGTGTGCTTTTAAGGCTTTGCATTGGCATCAAAAGTTTAGAACTGCAGAGTCTAGATATGGATTTGTGTGAACACCTCTCATCTTTGTTTTTATTCTGAATAACTGTAGATTAGCGCAGAGCCTGAGCTAATTTTAGAGAGCATGTCCAGCTTTTCCAGATCCAAGCGCAGCCGACATTCTGTTATGAGCTCCATGTCGTTTTCTTCTCTCTCTTTTTCCCATAGGCATCACCTCACTATTTCATAGTCCTTCTGCAAGCCTTTCTTTCTGTCTATCTGTTTCATCATCTCCACTCCAGACAATATGCAGCCTGTCACCCAAATTGACATGTGTAGTCGCGTGTTACCTGTTTTCACATCACCCAAATCCACTGCACAAATCCTACTCTTTGCTGTCTCTGCTGTATGAAAAAACACAAACTGAATTTTTTTTTTTTTTTTTTTTTTTTTAACTATGCTGCTGAGATCATTCTTTACTCAATTTCTTCATCACCCTTTATGGTTTGTATTCCTGGCTGAAATAAGGGGAAACAAATATAGCAAGTAAAAAAAAATCAACAAAACACAATTTGGATTTAGGTGCAACCAGTTGTATGTCTTCATATATCTTTTTGAAAAAGAAAAAAAAAACTTAGAAGGTGAATAAAGTTACAGTAGAAGAGTGATTTTAATGACACAGATAGGCAGTTTTTTTTGTTATTATTATTATTATTATTATTATTATTATTATTATTATTATTATTATTATTATTATTATTATGTTAGTCAGTGGTTAAGACTCAAGTTTCAGAGTAAGTTGCACTGATGTTGCAAGACTACAGACTTGACTTATGTAAGATGAACACTGACCATATTACAAGTATTTAATACAAAACCTTCCCTGATGTCATTAACTTAAGTACTTAAAAAATGACTAGAATATTTTTCAATAGTACTGCATAGGTAACAAACTAATTATATGGATCTGAATGGAATTTAAAAGAAATCAAAGGACACCCCTTCCATGTAATAAACAGTTTAAACTAAAAAAATATTTTTTTTTTCCCCATGGGAAGAAGGAAATGATAAAATATCACAAATTTGGAAGTAAATACAACACATTTTTGCATCTTTATTACCAAATCTTTTTAGCGTATTTTATGTAAAAGTCGTCTTTTTAAATCTTCTGTCTTGTTTTTCCCTTAATTTCCCCTAAATCCTTGTTTGTGAAGCAGCACACACACTCAAACACACACACACGCACGCACGCACACGCACACACACACACACTACGCCTGTCACATAAAAGCAAAGTGGGGATAAGGGTATCACAAAAAAAGCAACGTGAGAAAAAGAGAACAATCATGAAAAGGACATTTGGGGCAGTCCACTAATTACCTTTCCAAGCAAACCGATGTGATTGATGTGCATCGGGGAAGACTACCTAATAGAACAGACACATATAAACACACAATGCATTGCAAAGATAAAAAGATTACCATCAATCATACGCACCTAGCATCCAAGTGTTTGAACTATTTGAGCAAACCAGGCCGATCAGCGAAAAGCTGGATGTGCACCGGCATAAGAACGAGATGATGAAAAAATATCATAATCACATTTTTTTTCTGTGTGTGTGTGTGAACAGTGACATCACAATTATTTAACTAAATTACTCATTAGGTTTGGAAACACTTTTCATTCATTGTACTAATGAGTATTAGAGAATGATTAATGATGCACACCCCTAAATGACGTCACAAGAAAGGCATTGATCAAGCGTAGTTGTGCATAACCTACAAACATTTCTACAGGCCTGCACATGCTGGTCCATCTGACTTCTAAACACTGCCATTTGACACCATAATTGGATTTTGTCGCATAAAATGCTTTAAGGTTCATTGAGTCTTGTGTGCAATGCACAGTTTTTCTTTCTTTGCTGTTGTAAAATACAACAATTTGTGTCAAAGAAAGATTTCTCCAAGACACAAAAGCATAATATTTATTAGTTTATAGCTGTATCATTGTAGTGCATCACATCATAATGTATATATGTATTAAAAAATAGCACAATGTATTTTATATTTACCATAGACTTTTATTTTCCAACATAATACATACAATATTTTGATGTATTGCAAGACTTCACATCACATCACACGCATGTGACCTTAATTAAATTTATTGGTGAGACTTAGTCTTTAAAAATGGTGATGGTGGAATTGCCTAGGATGGGTTTAAAGCTATAATATGTCACTTTTATTTTTTTTTTAAATCTACGTTTTAAACATTTGTTGTGATAGCATAATAATGTGTGAGGAAAAGAAATCAAGCTCCTCTGACTTCTCCCAGTGCTCCCAGTACTGACTACAAAAATACACAACTTGGTCAGAAACAACCAACCAATGCCAGGAGGAGGGTCTAAGCGCTGTCAAGCATCATGTACGCAAGGATGATTGACAGCGCTAAGATCTTTTTCCTGCCTCTGATTGGTTGTTTTTGAACAAGAGCAGCGCATTTCTTCAGATCGCTGTTGCAGCTCATGGACAAGATGGATTTTTCTCACAGATTATCTATATAACTGTCACCATGTTAGATATGGTGACAGTTTTGACAAATATGTAAAAAAAAAGAAGTATTTTTTTCATAAACGTTACATTAATAGGACCCCTATATGTAGCTGAAAAGAAGTCTGACCACCAAAACAACGGCTGTGCCTTTCTTTACACTTTGACATTTTCATCAGGTGTGGCATTTCTACTCCATTGAATGAAGCGGGGAAAGAAAATTAGTCTGTTGCACTTCTACATCTCTTCAAGAAATGTATTCTTCAAACGCAGGCCGCAGGAGCTTCAGGGACAGGAGGAACCGAACTATTGATGCAAGCAGAGGGAGAAAATATTTCACTGCAGCATTTTTAGCTTGCTCTGCCATATGCATAAAGGGTTGTTAAACCAAGTAATCCTTTCTTAAGTGACTATGAAGGGCAAATAGAAAGTACTTCCCTGTGGGATCAATAAAGTATCATAATATTGTAAATGACATGGCTCCGAACACTGTCCATGTGACAGACAGAGAGATTGATTTGTTTCTTTGGGGCCTGCAGATAAGATTTGGGTGTTATCATATGACAGCGATGCGGCTGTTAGTTTCATGCTGTCCTGCCAATGTTATAACCACCAGCAAATTACATCTGCATACAAAAAAAAAAAAAAAAAAAAAAAAAAAACATACCATTTGCAGAGAAATTGAAACTAGTTCTCAAACAACGAACTTCCTCACTCACTTAAACCGTATCTGCAACCGACGATTAAGAGCCATGTAGCAGTTTTCGCCACGTTTTTAGGGAGACTCGCCGCTTTGACGGGCACATATACAGTATACTTCAGCGTGACTGCTCTCGTGTGAAAGTGGTTTGAGTTTGGGGGCACAAACAGCTTAGCCATGCAGTGAAAATGACTTGCTAACAGATGCCAGGCTCTGACTGAGACACAACATCCTGCAGGCGACACTTAGAAGAAAATGAATCCATATTTCTGCCTTTTCTTCCCGTATCTCTTTCATGTCATTCTTCTGCTCTGTGCTTTGTAACTTTATGCCCCTCTTCCTTGAGTCTTGCACCTTTCCGTGGAGCATCTTTTTTGATGCAGCTGAGGCTCTGGCAGCTCCAGGTAACGGGGTGGAAATCAGAATTCGTACCGGCCATTCGAAAATGTCACAAGCCACCATTTCTTCTGTTCACACTCTTGTGTAATATGGTTTGTGTTATTTAAGCAAAACTAACTAAAAATTAAATAATAAGGACATCATTAAAAGTGCGCAGTTTATGTGTTGTCGATCAGAACGGCGCAATTAATAACACAGTTGTTTTGTAGCAAGAAGGTTTCTGGACCTCTGGAAGTCCAAGAAACACGACTGTGAAGTTAATCGATCTCTCTAATTTACTCTTAGGTTTGATTGACTCCGTAGCTGCTGCAGATGTTAATATATATATATATAAAAGAAAAACTGCATACAGTTCTCTGTAAATGTGCATTCTGCTTTGGAGCACATCTTGACTGAGAGAGGAGATGACCTTTGCTCTCCTTGTCTGTTTTTTTTATGACTGGCTGATGACTGATTGATGTGGACAAAACGTCCCAAAAGAGTTGTTCTGATGCTTTAAAAACTAAGTGCTATGGTTTGATTGCTGTAATCGTTAATGATTCGTGTCATAACGGGTACGTTGTGTTCAGGTCAGTACCTGTGAAGTCATATTAAGCACCAGCTGAGCAGAGGAGGCGGGGCGGGGGTAGGGGGGTGGGATTCAGAATGCAGCTCAGGCACATTACTGCTTTCAGCAGATCTGTTGTAGAAATCAAAACGCTTTCCGAGTTGCCAGTAGCGTATAATTTGATCGCATTTACTCAACACTTCCTAAATTTACGTGCATTTTGCCAAGAGTGGGTGGCGATTTCCAGCCCCTGTCAAACACGGGTGGAAGCCAACACTTATATACTTCAAAAACATTTGAGTGGATTGTGACACTTGATATATTTTGAATAAAAAAAGGAGAAATTGATGTTTGTTTCTTTTAATGTCTTTGAATCCAGGATGGTGGAGTACTCCCTGGACCTGCAAAACATCAACTTGTCGGCCATTCGCACGGTTCGGGTTCTTCGGCCCCTGAAAGCCATCAACAGAGTCCCAAGTGAGAAAAGCTTAAGTATTTTATTTTTTTTCTTTTTAACTGGAGATTGCATGCATTGTGAGTGTGTCTTTGTATTTATGATTTGAAGTTGACCTGTGCTTCAATCTACAGCTTGAGCTTTTTTTCCTTTTTTTTTTTTTTGAGCTTCTCTGTGTCGTCACATCTGTCTGTCAGTTTGCATCGAGTTGAAATGCAGTTGCATGAAAATTAATGTAGATGAATTTCATTTTTCCTGCATCTCTGGGAGTTGTTTTTTTTTTGTTTTTTTTTTCGCCATCCTTATACCACAATTTCCTGGTGGGGATGATTAAACTTTCATCTAATGCTTCATAACAAAGTCAGCTCAAACCTTGAGTCACGGCCTTATCTAATTTACAAACCACACATTAATGCTGCTTCAGTGATCAGTGTGTGACCATAAACCCAGTCTCCTCATCTAATACTCCGTTCTCCAGCAAGGTTTTCCAGATCCTATCGATTTATTTGTACGGCTGCCATAATTGGCAGCTTGTCGTCATAATAATTAGCAATTAGCCCGAACCAGCAAGGCCTGGAGTCGTGTCATTGCTGTACATTTGTGTAGAAAGTTGAAAATAGATGAAAGCTGTTTGAATATTTGAGTATTGAAAAAAAAAAAGTATGTGTGAAACACTTACTTTTGTCCACTATATGTTTTATATAGATTTTTATTTTATTTTTTTATGGTTTGTATGTTTAGTAGGATTTCAAAGAAAAAATCTAAAATGACCCATGCTGCCCCAGAAGGCTGCAATGATGCTTGGCTTAACACATGAAACAGGAAAGGAAGAACGTCCTGAGCACAACTAATCTTCCCCATAGTATCCCAATCAATCTATCGCATCCTGAATTGAGTTCTGCACATATGGAAAAAAAAAAAAAAAAACAACAACAACAAAAAACTGCCTGATAATAGAATCAATATCTGCAGTTCTGTTAGCTACTTAGACCGACTTGCCAGGTTTTATGTCTGTAAGATCTCAACAAAGACGCTTTACCGGACTATTCATTACATTCCCCTTCTTCCTCTATGACACTGTCTGTCACTTTCTCTCAGTCATTGTCTTCACAATAGCAGAAAAAAGTGAGAATGTTGGAGAAAAAAAACTTTAATTACACTCTTAGGGTAGTGATGGTGGAGGGCAAAGTATGAGTGAGGAAAAACAAAATACATTGTTCTGTCTGTTGTACTGCTTCAAAATCAACATTTTGCCAAGTCTGCAACAGACTTATAAATGTAAAAAGCTCTGCTCTGAAAAGTTCTCTAAAACTCATATTTTTTTTTACGCCTAAAGTACCAGTACAGGTTTTCATGCAGATGCAAACTGTGAATGCGTCAATGATGTTTTGTTTTGCAAAAATGTCCATTCTAATTTGGGGAGTGGCTTTAGCGAGGTAAACACATACATTGTCTTCTTGTTTTACTTGGCATATTCTGACGAGCAAGCCGTCCTTCCGTCGAAGCTATAAAAGAGGAACCTGCTCGGTCAAATACTTGGTACACCGGCAGCACTTAGGGAAATGGTTCGGAAAATGTATGAAGACGAGTGCGTACGGCGCTTTGGAGAAAAGTGGACTGGTTGCAAGCAAATTTGCCCTTCTGCTGACGATTGTGTTTCCCTCCTTGCCTGTGCAGATATACGGGTTTATCTTTGCATACGTAGCTCATAGGCAGCTCTAACATTAAGATACTGTTTATCTATCTTTTGTAGACTGTTGCACAAGGGCCTTTATATGCATCTACTTTGTATTGATGTGCAACATATGCATACTTCTGTGCATAATTAGTGTGTGCAACTCCTACTCTGTGTTGAGAATGTCTGAAGTGAAGAACCAAGGGGATAAAGCTATTTGTTCTTTCTTCAGCTGGATTGCTACTTTGCCCACAGGTACAAAGGCAGCATGAGCACTCCCTGACCCCTCACACACCTCAATTTGTAACCCTCCTACAAGGAGCAGATAATAGCAGTGTGTGGCATACGTGAATGCGTGCTGTTGTGTTAAACTTTGTTTTTGAGGAAATTGGTGTGATGGAAAAGGAGTGCTAGACAGAACTGTTGGGGGGGCAACAAACACCACAGAAACTGAAAGGAGGGGAAGAAAAGGGAAGAGAGGATTTTCTTTTCCTTTGGTGAAAGGCTCAGGCAGGGAGCCAAAAAATGTGTTAACAGTGTGGTGCAAGCTGAGGCATCCATCTTTATATGAGAACAGCAGCAGCTGACAAACAAATAATAAAAATATAAAAAGAAATCGGTGAAAAGGCTAGAAGTGAAGACGGGTAGACGAGGATGGAGGAGGGTAGATATATTTTTTAGTGGCACCGTAAAAAAGAGAAAATATTGATAATAAAAGTTAACATTTTTCCTCCATAAGATGTGCTTTGTTTGTATTCTCCATTTTATGAGTTGTCTTCATTCGGTTCCTCCTTCTTTTCCTTGTTACTGAGTTTGCACACCATATTTTTTTGGCAGATTGTCTCCCTCTCTACCCCTTTGTTTCCCTCAATCCATCTCTTCCTCTCTCCAGCCAATTAGGCCTAATGGAGCAGTGGCCTAATGACAAGAACCCTGGGGAACAAATACATTTAGACTCGCCTCCAGCCATCAGCACGATAGCAGTGTTAGTGCTTCCCATTTAAAGTTGACAAAACAAATCAGCCAGAGATGACAAACCGGTTCAGATTAATTGTCCAACAAAAAATCCAAAGGTTAATTGAAATATATTTGAGGAACTATTTTAGCATACAAAACAATCTGCACGAGAATCATTGATATTTCCTCGATTTCCAATAAATTTGGATTTTCCAAAGCCTGTTGTGATTTCTACTTCAGTCCAGAGGTGGATCCTCCCCAGTCCCAACACAAACAGATGTACACTGACAATGAAAAGATAGAAAGGTAATGATTTTATGCACCAAGATTTTTCAAAATACTTTTTTTCTGGAAAGCAGTAGAGAAAGTAAGTCCAAAAAGATTTTTTTTTCTTGTTTTTTGTTTTGTTTGTATTTCTTTCTGATTCACGTAAAGCACTTTGTGCTGCCTTGTTGCAGAAAATGCGCTGTATGAATAAAATCACCTTACCTTACCTTGATTGATCAGATTTCTAAAAATTGAAATGAGTCCATGACTTTGTGTTTCCCTGGAGCATAAACGACACACAGTATTCTCCTTTAAATATCCACTCTTAAAAAATGGGGAACTCAAGGAAATATACAATTTTTTTAGGGTGGTTGCATAAAGACACTCAAAGTCCTCAATGCAGTTATTCCTAGTTCAATTTTCTCTCTGCCTTTACAATATATATATATAT